CAAGTCTAACACTGACCTGGAATTATTGATTAAGGAAACCCTCCACATCAAACAGCACTCTCCAACACTGAACAACATGCAGTCTTCATTTAAATTATACATTTTTTAATATGTTCGTATTACTGATTTTTCGTTTTCTTGCTGTAGTTTCTCCCCATGATTACTGTTTAGTGTTTTATTTGTTTAATTATCGTTATATTTAGCAATTGTACTTTGAAAATGTTTAAAGACTGATGTAAATTCATTTTATTCTGCTTTAGATACTGAAGATGGAATCTGATAAAATTCCAAAACGTTTATCCATGTCCCCTTTTTGTCAATAAACAATGTTGTATATCATGAGTGTTGTTTTCTTATACAGTTCGCAGTTCACATTGTATTAAGTGATCAGGACTGACAGAATCTGTGGTGATCTAATTGATAAAACGCTGGAATTTGATCCCCGTCCCACCAACATGCTCGCCCTTTCAGGTGTGTGGGCTTTATAATGTCACGGTCAATCCCACTATTCGTTGGTAAATAAGTAGCCCAAGAGTTGGCGGTGGGTGGTGATGACTAGCTACCTTCTCTTTAGTCTTTCGCTGCTAAATTAGGGACGGCTAGCGCAGATAGCCCTCCTGTAGCTTTGCGCGAAATTCAAAACAAACAAACAAACTCCATGCCTTTAATCCGATTTTAATTAACTTCAATATCGTTTGAACGTTAGAAATAGTTTTGAAATGTTTTGAGTAGCTCTTACTTTTATCTTGTTTTTAAACTTTGTAATTTCATATTCGATACAAACTGTGGTGAAATTCTACAGGTACTTATTGTAACTCAGTACCAATACCAGTACCTCTTATTTTTGGTATTCCAGGAGGAGTACAAGTCTGCTCATTTTGGGAAATTCCCCCGGTGGGACAGCGGTAAGTCTTCGGATTTACAACGCTAAAATCAGGGGTTCAATTCCCCTCGTTGGACACAGCAGATAGCAGCCCGATGTAGCTTTGCTATAACAACACACACACACGTGGTTCCATTATTTTGTGTATTTCTTTTTGGTTCAATTTGAATACTGTAGTAGATGAAGAGGTAACCTTTATTTGTAGAAAATCGGATGCTGTGAGGTCAGGTCCTTGCAAAAGTGAGTACCTACGATTCTTTAACCCTTTCGCAACCAGGCATTTTGTATTACCAGAATCCAAATAAATTTGAAGAAATAATAGCGAAAAACTTATATTTGATTTATTTATTGTATATGATATTGAAAAAAAGGCCCTGCAAACCACATATCACTGAATTCAGTGTGAAAAAAGGCCCTGCAAACCACATATCACTGAATTCAGTGTGAAAAAAGGCCCTGCAAACCATATATCACTGAATTCAGTGTGAAAAAAGGCCCTGCAAACCATATATCGCTGAATTCAGTGTGAAAAAACCATTATCAAGTTAAACCCATATGGCTCCTCGGAATGGAAATAGCGGGCGAACAAAGTAGTCCCTCTAACGGTAACCAAGGAGTAAAGGGGGATTTCACAACTTGATAAATATATCGGAATTAAAAATGAGACATCTAAACATCAATGTAATATTTACAATTAAATAACTTTAAAAACGCTATGAACCCATAAATCAAAATAGGTTCGGTTTGAATTTCGCGCAAAGCTACACGAGGGCTATCTGCGCTAGCCGTCCCTAGTTTAGCAATGTAAGACTAGATGGAAGGCAGCTAGTCATCACCACCCACTGCCAACTCTTGGGTTACTCTTTTACGAACGAATAGTGGGATTGACCATCACATTATAACGCCCCACAACTGAAAGGGGGAATATTTTAGGTGTGATGGGGATTCGAACCCGAGAAATTAACATCACGAGTTTCGTGTCATTGTTATTGTTTGAAACGCTATTAGATTATGAAGATGAGACATTAACTATTTATCTAATTCACCGGATTCTAATATCCTCTTCTCATTTAATATAGATAGACAAGTGCAAGAACGAAAACATCCAGAGACAAATGGTAAGAAAATTAAACTTTACGTTGTTGTTGTTTTAATGAAGCTTACATCGAATGATTTAAAACACTAACCATCCTACTACTGGGTGGAATTTTGTGAGATTTTGCTCACAAATTCCCAAAGAATGCGTGGAACTGATCAGACTAAACTATATTTAAATTCAAATATCTTATTACACATAAGAGGATCTTTACATAAAACGTCACTTCCGAAAACACTTGATCAAGTTTTTTGATGTTACTCAAATTATTTAGTACTAATTTTAGTACTTATTTTTCATACCTTGTAATTATTATTATTTTTCATTCATTGTAATTATTATTATTTTTCATACATTGTAATTATTATTATTATTTTTCATACATTGCAATTATTATTATTATTAACGTATTTTAACAACGTGTTTTCAGTTTTTGTTTGTTTGTTTCGGATATTCGCAACAAACTAAACAGTGGCTATCTGCACGGGGTATTGTCGTACCCACCAGAGTGACGTGGAAAGACAGACCCCTATTGGAAAGCTCTGGATCCCCAACAGCACACACATCTTATATATCAAGATTACGTCTTTTAACACTTAAACATTTTTATGCGGATTCACAGTCTATTAGGCTAACCACTACACCACGCTCAAACCACTTGTTTCTTACTGTCATCTTTTGAGAATATTGGAATGTGTGAACTGTTCAACTTAAGAGAAAACATTAACATCGCATCATTTCTACTTCTTAATTCATAATACATCATTGGTTATAAATCGTTAGTTGATAATGCATCATTGGTTATATATCGTTAGTTGATAATGCATCATTGGTTATATATCGTTAGTTGATAATGCATCATTGGTTATATATCGTTAGTTGATAATACATTATTGATTATATATCGTTGGTTGATAATGCATCTTTGGTTATAAATCGTTGGTTGATAATACACCATTCGTTATAAATTGGTAGTTGATAATACACCATTCGTTATAAATCGTTGGTTGAAAGTGCATCATTGGTTATAAATCGTTGGTTGATAATGCTGAAAATTTCAATTTATTAGTGTGTTTTTTTCATTAACGTCACTACACTAATAATACTATTCGAGTAAATTTTAGTGGGTGTCTAAGGTTGGGATCATTTCAAGACGGCCCTGCATGTTTTTGAAGTTCAATGGATGTAACATAACGTAACCGTGATATGTTCTAAGTTCAGTTTGTTACCGAAACTATCGTTTGTCAGTGATGATGAACGTCGCCATGTTTTTCACGTTCTCCAAGCTCGGCTACCTCAGTAAATAACATTTTACTCTACGTTGCAGTCTTCATAGACGCCACACTTACCTTGTACAGTGTTTTATGTCGTATTAACACGCTCTCAAACAAATGCTGAATGCATATAACATTTGCCTTCCAAAGCTTCTTTTTCGCCGTTACCTCCATGTTCTATAGTTTTAATGACGTCACACCTTATTCTATAATATTTTCCACATTACACAATGGACTAACGACTATCTTTCAGAATCCTTATAACATTGACGTTTAATTTCCACAATTTTCTGTGGGCTGCCATACTATCAACATTATTACCTTCTAACGTTGACGGACGCCACTCCAGTTTCTATAGTCTTCCAATACCATCAACCTTGTCTTTACAAGGTAGAAGGACGTCACATCAGTGTTTATAGTTTCTTTGTACCATCAACCTTGTCTTTACAAGGTAGAAGGACGTCACACCAGTGTCTATAATTTCTTTGTACCATCAACCTTGTCTTTACAAGGTAGAAGGACGTCACAACACTGTCTATAGTTTCTTATACCACCAACCTTGTCTTTACAGTGTAGATGGAGGACACAACAGTGTCTATAGTTTCTTATACCATCAACCTTGTCTTTACAAGGTAGAAGGACGTCACACCAGTGTCTATAGTTTCTTTGTACCATCAACCTTATCTTTACAAGGTAGAAGGAAGTCACACCAGTGTCTACAGTTTCATTGTACCATCAATCTTATCTTTCCAAGGTAGAAGGACGTCACAACAGTCTCATTCTGTAATTCCACCTCTTTTGCAGACCCCATATTCACTTACATCTCTTAATATTTCATTATATATCGCATCTCGCTTCCTCTCCTGATTCTCAATTCTGAGGAATCTCACTTTCATGTTTTATAGTCTTAATGGACATCATATTCACTATTCCTACCCTGCTGGGCAACTGATGAAATCCTGCAGCTCCACATTTCACATTCACCTCCTAGTTTTGAGATATGCCACATGTCTCTTATGTCCACAGTCTTGATAGCCATTGACCCGACAGCCTCTAATTTAACAACCAGGATCATGTCATTTCCCAGTCCTCAAGTGGGGCGAAGGAACGTTGCTCAATCTTCGAGCACCCTCGATGATTAATTATTTTTCCAATAACTAATTTCAATCGAAATACCTGACAGTAGTTTTAGTTAACTGGACGATGTGACAGATAAAAAAAAGAGCTATAAAAAACGTTAAACCCTCTTTTAAATAGACAGCAGGTCATTTCACTTTTGGACCGGGCGTAGCCCATGATTAGCACATCTAGACTGCGAACCCGAGTATTAATTGTTCGCAACATGTTTCCGCAAAAACGCGCTTCGCTCTTTGAGGCGTGGATGCGATGTATGAATGACAGTCAAATCTCACAATTTGAGTAGCTCAAGAGTTGACAATGGGTGCTGTTGACTAGTTGCAACCTCTCTAGTCTATCAGCTCAAGATTATGGAAGGCTCTGCTCAGGTAGCCCTTGTATTTCTTTCGGGCAAATATCTGAGGCACAAAACACACATTTCATTATCTTTACTGTTTAACTTGTGTTGCATTTACCACATTCTTACATGGGGAATGTCCTTTTTTACTTAAAATTATCTCAGGACAAATGATCTTTATTCAATACTCTACTATATGTAAAATGTAACAGCATGTTATAACCTTACTAATGTCTTGGCTGTGTAAAATGTAACAATGTGTTATAACCTAAATAATGTCTTGGCTGTGTAAAATGTAACAGCATGATATAACCTAATATCTCGATTGTGTAAAATGTAACCGAACGTTATAATCTAACTAATTTCTTGGCTGTGTGAAATGTAACACTATAACCTAATATCTCGATTGTGTGAAATGTAACAGAACGTTATAATCTAATTAATATCTTGGCTGTGTGAAATGTGACAATGTGTTATAACCTATCTAATATCTTGGCTGTGTGAAATGTAACAGTATATTAGAACCTTACTAATATCTTAGCTTTGTGAAATGTAACAGTATATTATAACCTAATATCTTGATTGTGTAAGATGTAACAGTATATTATAACCTTGGCTGTCTTTCTTGTGTTTTATTTACCAAATATTTGAGATTTTTGCTTTTTATTAACAGATACTTGATCACTTACTAAAGTAAATATTGAAGAATTTTTACAATAATAATATTTTTTTCTATAAGGTTTCAGCTGACAGTCCTCTCATTAATTACAACCCAAGAACTATCGCACAGAAGATACAAGTTGCCCTGAAGGTTGTATACCCTTAATGTCATAGATAACATACTTGTTTTGTCAGTATATGTAAATAACCATCGTGATATATCAATTTAACACATGATGAGAGAAATGGCTGCACGTTGTATACCCTTAATGTCATAGATAACATACTTGTTTTGTCAGTATATGTAAATAACCATCGTGATATATCAATTTAACACATGATGAGTGAAATTGCGGTGTAACCTCACATTACATAATTGTTTATATTTGTTAGAGCTATTTTTTTATGGTAAAACCTAAAATATAGGGTAATTTACATAACAATAACATTACAACCCATGTTTTGTCCCCGATATAAATGTGTGTATTTGCGTTCAGCAAACAAGCAAGAAACTGTGAAAAGTTAAAGACATAAACAACATCGTGACAAGGATCTGTGAGAAATTAAAAGTATAGACAACGTAGTAGTGACAGAAATCTTGAAAAAGCCATAAACTGCAAGACCAGTTTTTTTGTGTTTAATTTCAGTTAAATTAATTAATATCAGGTACAAAGATATTCAACAAATTAGATATACCAGTTATATACTCCAATTGAAAAATTGGTGAGTGTGGGAACTAACGTTGCTATAGCACCAAGAGAAATAGAAGCATTTAATGCTGCAGGGGGTTGGGGGTGGCTATTTAATGAAATTCACAAAAAGAGAGAAGCAGTTTTAGGAAGAGATAGCATCATTAACAACCAAACTACCTGGATTTAAAGCTTCCATTACCCAGCCACCCCCTTTACATCTCTTTAAGCAACAGCATCCATCACACATTATTCCATTTACTGAAATAAACTATTCTGGAAATGTATTTATAATATCCAACATTTTGCCTCATGACTAGAAACATCTTGAATTTCACAAGATCAAGATAATTTCTCGAGATAATTTAAATAATTATGAACAACTGACCATCCAACTCGCTGCCTTCCCAACACGAATTGACACCTTTGGAATTCAACAATGTTTACTAGTCATGATTGTATATTCTTTCTGGGCATTCCAGAGAAAACCAATCTCTCGGAATAGGGGGAGGGAATCAATTACGGTTTGTGATCAGAGCATCCTCAGATGGTGAATTCTTAAGAACAGGTCAGGTTACATTGATTCACTTCTTCATTTGAAAGAATACATTCATAAGATTTATGAACTAACTTGTCAAATACACGATGTCTTATTACAATAAATTCACACGAAATTTATGAAGTGTTTCAAGTGCGAAAACACAAGACAAAGTGCTAGGTGCTACAGACAGCAGTATTCGACTAGAATAAACCATTTTAGACAATCTCAAGTGAAAGAACTAATTGATTAGGATAGTTTGAATATGAGAATCGTGACTGAAATCTTGATAAAAGCAACCCAAGATCTTAAAACAGAAGTTTAGAAGATTCTACTGGAATTTCTACTTGGTCAAGTAAAGGTAAAAGGAGGAATAGTAGTTAATGTTAGAGTTTAATTGGGAAACAAGGTTTAAGACAAAATAAAGATAATTCAAGACCTCAAAAAGCTATTTAGAAGCTTGTCCCGAGGTTCTACTAAATAACTTGAAAGGGAAAGAAGTTGTAGTACTTAATGTGAGAGTTTAATTAGGAAACAATGATGAACTAAACTTGGGAGGTAATATTCAGCTGATGCGAAGTTTACTGCTCAAAGAGACTTGTTGTAACAGTCTAAGGAAATCAATGACACTTGCTGACTCAAAGGAAATCAGTAACGCTTGCTGACTCAAAGGAAATCAGTGACGCTTGCTGACTCAAAGGAAATAAATGTCACTTGCTGACTCACAATGAATATCGTAATCTTTAATAACGTGAAGCTAGGTTCAAGTAATGACAATAAAAGCGATGATAACGCTCAAGTCAACGTTCAGTTGACCAACTGTGCCTTTTATTAGATATTGTTACGACAGCAGAAGTCATGCGACGTGGGAGAATGCGCGCTGGAGTTTCTAGAAGGATCGTGACTTAGCGGGCAACCTCACAAATGTCCCAGCGTTTGCTAAACGCCCTCTTTTTTAGTATATAAGCCGGAGATAGATTGAAGAGAAATAATTGAGTTAAGCGAGCAGTAGGCACCGTAAGTAAAGTGTGTGAATCGCTGTGAATTATAGCATGTGTTTATAAAAATAGTTAAGTTTAAAGTGGCTGTGGAAATTCTGTGTATTACAACGTTGTATCGAGAAAGAATAAACTAGTTTTAATTAAGAAAGAACTCGTATCGATGATGTTTCTCGGAAAGAATTTTTAGGGGAAATTATCAAACAAGCAGATATGTAACAATATTTTTCTGTTAAACATGACTTAGAGGAGGAGTAACCTGTGGTGATGGACTTCAGAATGAAATATAAATTTGTGATGAAACTGACCTCAAAACTTTGTGAAACGTCGATAATAATTGTCTTATCTGTATACTCAATAGGCAGTTGTTATGTCCGCTGGAACTAAAACACCAATATCTGGGCAGATAACCAACAAAAACAAAGAAGTATTAATTTATAGAACTTTAGTAGAAATGAAAACCGTAAAAATTGAGCTGTAATGGTGACTAGTTTTACAATAAAAAACAATAAAGAATGCAAAGTGTGAAGGAATGAAAAGGCTTAATATCAGTAAATTAGTCTTACGCTTTTAAATGAACAATGTCTGCTTTTTTCAGCTACAGGGGCTGTGTAATAAGTGTCATTTTACTGATTAGAAAACTAATTTACAAGTGTGAAGTTTCTTTAGTTATAATAAGACACTAGCGAAACCAGAGATTGTGTAGTTTATTACCTAAAAGCAATATTTCTTTAAGATGTTATTTTATAAATTTATGACTATGTTGTTGTACTTTTTTTAACAGAATATCAACTAACAGATCGCCCCTCAGTAGACAGAGCCGGCTTGCAGTGTCTAACATCACCGTCAAGAAGACAGTATTATAAACAGCACAATATATTTAATAATAATAAGAGCACTTGCTTTTTGATATTTTCATGGTGTATACATTACGACATGGTGAAGCTAAAAATATAAGCTGTAAAGCTAATATTATATAACTTCGTCATTTCTGTTCCAGATAATTTTATCTTCAACAAAGCGACAAACTTTACTTACATCATTTCAAATTATATAACCTAATATCGCATTTTCTTACTGGAGAATAAATAATGTTACTATTTCTTTTAGAAATACCTTACTAATTTTCCAGCAGAAAAATGTCGTACGTTGGTATTGAAATTTGAGTTTAAAGTCACTGTTCACATTGTTTTTATAGCTTTTGTTAAATTATCGCGATTTCTTTTTGATATATTTGTTCCGTTATTCTCAAGTAGTAACAATTTTGAATTAGACAAATTTTGATATATCGTTAAGCCTAAAACCGTTACTCTGAAGTCTAGGAAAAATCAGTATCTCGAGAGCGACCTCTCAGTTTTGGAACACTTGTGAAAATTTCGAAATTTAATCTGATGATCGAGTTTCAACATGAAGATTCTCACAGGGCAATATTTATGACCAGGCAACTAGATGACTCATGTCTTCACGTGCTGTAGAAATATCTAAGACTTGCTTATGTACTTATCAACGATTCGTCTCTCACTGAAAACACTTTAAGTAGTAAAATTTACTTTGTGCGTGTGTATGATCACATTTTCGTAAGGTAAAGTATAATTTGGCTTGTAGCCACCTACTGTGCCTTCTGCAGAGATTGTAAATGATCGTAATAAATACTTTCACCTCGACGCACGGGATATTTTACAAGCGCAGAATCAGTTGTTTCGGTTTAACAAGAGTGTAATGTTGGTAGGGGTTGCAATATTAGGAAATTCTATCAAGCTAAAATCGTTCACTCCAGTACTAGAGTATTGTTTAGTTTCACGATAAAGACTTCAGTTATGGCCGAAAGCCGATAATCAAAACCAAAACTTAACGTTATGAATGTCCATGTTATTTATATAATCAACAAGGATATTCTTAGGCTGACGAAAATATATAAAGAAGCAGTGTATACATATAGTTTTCATTATTAGTAATTATTGTGTTAAACGCTCTTAGATAATCTGGTGTGAATTTTTAACTTATTTTATTGAAAAAAAATAAAACCATGGGTCGTATTTTCAGTTTTTCAACTAGCATGTTGAAACGATAAACATGATTAGATATTTCAGTCTATGATAAAAATACACATCGGATAAATATGATAAATTGATGCGCGAACAATTTGAAATTTACTATTTATAAAATCATTTAAAAAATCGACAAAGAAATATGAAGAAACTGGTATATTTTAATAGGTGTCCCACTGGTGGATGATAACCGTAATTAGGCAGTCATTGTTCATTTAGCTTAAGAAATATTTAATCTTAAAATAATCGTACTTTTCAACATTCTTGTGCATTTTTTTGTGATTTTACTCTTCGAATATTTAACTATAATATTGATTATATAGTGTGATGCACCTGTATATTATCAAAGCTGAAATAATAAATTAAACAATTAAAAAACGAAATTGTTGTATATATATATATATATGTATGAATATCAGCACGAGTTTACACTTGAAATATTTGCATGTTATTTACAAATAATGATATAAAAATTACGGTGAAGGCTTAAGGCGTGAATCAATTTAATTTCGACATTTTCAGTATCTAATGTTACTTATACCACTAGAGGACACTATATTATAGGCAGGAAATAAAAATGGATGACTTTTCAATGCAGTTTTTGTATGTTATTTTGTATTTATGGTAAAGCTATTAAGACTATCGCCCCCGGTGGCTCAGCAGTAAGTCCGAGGGCTTATAACACTATAAATCGGTTTTCGATACCCGCAGTGGTTGGAGCACAGATAGTCCATTGTATAACTTCCTCTTGATAACAAACAAACAAATTAACTAACTAAGGCTATCTGAACTACTGACCAGAGAGAAGGCAGCAGCACCTCTATCTGCACTAAGAGACAGATTGTCACTCTTATAACGCACATACTGTTTAAATGCAGGGAATATGTAGTTGTATCGCCCGGCTCGTCAGCGGAAGATGAAATCTATCCTCTCTCTCACCAAGGAAAGGTGTTTCACACTCTTCAGTGTCTCCACCACCCAAATTTTAAGACATGTTGTTTTGAATATTATATAATTTAAGATTTTAAATATAAATATAAATATTTTATTTTATATAAATTAATTAAATTACAATTAATTTTTCCTAAGTCTTAATTTACTTGAATTAAAACGTTTTAGTTAATTTGTTTCAAACATCTATCACACTAGCATCTATTGTCAAAAATATTAAACAACAACCACATTAAATAAACACAATATAAAATTCTACTATAATAATAATAAATTCAGCATTTATAAATTATAAAATTAAAAGAGATTTATACATATACAATTAATTTATAATCTTTATTAAGTAATATGATTAAAATAATTAAAATTCTTAATTAGAAACATCCTTATTTATTAATAATAATATAAACTTAACGGTGAATTATACTTACTAGTTCTCCTACAATTTGTTAAGCTTGTAATTTCTGTCAACAAATAGGAGTTTTTATTTTTTATAATGTTTATCAGTTAAATATTTTAATTTTTGATCCAAGGTTGCAATCGAAAATTGTTTGAATAAAAAATCTATGGGTGTATTAATAGGGTAATGTGTTACGAAACGTAACACTGTATTTTGTAAAGTCTGTAACAGTTTTAAATTTTGTAAATTAATATTTGACCACGCACTGGCAGCATATTCAACAAATGATCTTATTAAAAACTTTATGAATTTTATCATTGTTTTACCATTTACCCTGTTTAGTAATTATTTTTTCAAAAAGTTAAATCTACCATACAATCTTTTCACGATAGAGTTAACAATTTAATTTTCTATCAAAATTTATACCCAAATACTTTACTTTTGCAACTGGTATAATATTTGCTTTATATAACTTAATTTGGGCATTTTTAATGACTTCAATATTTTGTATCGATATGTTATTTTTTTCTATGAAAAATAATAAACTTAGTTTTCTCAAAGTTAACAATTATTCTCCATAAATTACACCAGAGTTCTAAATCAATTAACACTAATCGCAATTTTCTTATAATCACTGACACAACATGTGTAATACTGTGCAAGATAATAAATCATTTATCTACTAGTGGACACGGTATATCATTAGTGTAAAAACAGAATAACAACGGACTCGATACATTTCCTTGTGGAACTCCTACCCCCGGTATAAAACAATCAGAAAATTCACTATTAAATTTAATTTTGTTACATCTGTTATTAATAAACAATAATAAGCAAGGTGAAATCGTGTATTAATTTATAAATCAATCCATTATACCATATCTTATCAAAAGCCTTTTCTATATATAAAACAATTGCTCCCGTAGGATTTTTATAATTAAACCCATCAATTGTCGACTCGGTAAACCTTACCAAATGATCAGAATTTTGATGGTTTTTCTTATAACAAATTTGATAAGGATATATTTTATTAACTTTTATTAAACAATTTAATAGTCTATTGTGTATAAATTTCTTGAATATTTCAAATAAACAACTTGTTAAACTGACTGGTCTATAACTGTAAGGATAATATTTCGTTTTATTAGGTTTTTAAATCATTGTAATAACACTTGATTTCCATATTTTGGGGACATATCCTGTTTTATAAGATAAATTAAATAAATTGGAAATTTTATCATAAATCTCTATCACAATTCTTTAACATTTCTAATATCTAATATCTTTTAAAACCATAATTATTTCATCAGACGTAATATTTTTATTATTAAAATAATTGGATAATCCTCTTCATTAGTTACAACTTGATCATTAATTTTGATAGTGGTTATCTCTTGTAATTTCAGTCCTCATGTCTTTAAAAATACAAGCTTTTTCTTGGTCAGTTTTAACATTTCTGTATTTTCAATTAATATCAAAGGAAATTATTTTATCAGAACTTTCATTAATATAATATTTAAACTTTTTTCAAAACTTACTAATATCCTTTTCTTTATCTAATTTTTACATAAACTTTCAAAATCTTTTTCTTTGTTTTTTAATTAAATTTTAACATATTTTTGTTTTTATTATATAAATTTTTAACATATTTTGTTTTTATTATATAAATTTTTAACATATTTTATTTTTATTATATACATTTTTAACATATTTTTGTTTTTATTATATAAATTTTTAACATATTTTTGTTTTTATTATATAAATTTTTAAAGTATAAATTATGATTTCGAACCATAATTCTTATTTTTTCTTTAATGCCAATTCAATTTTCTCTGTAAATTTCCGTTTAGTTTTTAGGATAATATTTTGGTATACTAAAATTAGCTGCCATCTTAAAATCATTGGAAATAACATAACCATGTTCTTCTAGTTGGTCTTCACTTTCTGATGAGTCAAATTCGTATTTATCTAAATTTCTATTAAGAATTTCATTAAATTTCTGCCAATTGGCTTTTCTAAGTTATATCTAGCTTCTAATTGACTATTACTTCTCATGTTTGTAGTTTCTACGATAAAAATACTTACAGGTAAGTGATCACTGTGAAAATCAGGTCCAACTTCAAAACTGCTAGTGTGAGAAAAAAATTTAGTTGTCGTTAAAATAAAATCTAATATAACTGACTTACCAGTTACATTATGAGTATGTGTAGGTTGATTATCATTTAGAATGATAAATTAAATGTATTAATAATGTTTAACATATAATTTCCATTTTTGTTTGATTGCAGCCAAAGGCTACATGTTTACTATTAAAAGCACCCATGATCAATAGATTGTAATTATATTTAATTAAATTATTAAAACTATTATATTTAGGATTATTTCTTGGTGATACATAAATATTTGCAATTGTTACTTTAATATTATTAAACCATACATCTACTACTACAATTTCATTTTCATTAGAATTAATAGATGACACTAATTCTGATTTGATTTCCTTAATGACTCAAACTGTTGTCCCTAGTGTATGTTTGTTAGTATCTCGATCACTTCGGTATACCTTATAACCTTTAGGATTAAAAATTTTATTATTTGTTAACTTTGTTTCAGAGACACCTATTATAAGGATATTATTATTTACAAAATGTTCTATTTCGTCCCACTTATTTACAACATCTCCCTGAATATTAACTGTTAAAACTCCATACCTATTAAGTGTCATCAAATTTTGATGTACATCCTTGTTTAATACTTAGAGCTGATGCTACTTTTTGATAAATAATTTTTGGATCCAACTTAAATCAATATAATTATTAGTTGATACACAAACATATTTAACAATATCACTCCTACTTATCTTCAGGTCTTTTAACTTAATTAAAATATCAACTATGATTAAAGACATTGTATGCATTAGATCTATTTTAAAATATTTCAAACTTCTTCAATCCTATCTTTTGATAAATTAGTACTTGAATCTTTCAAGGCTTTGGCATAAGATTTTCTTTCTCTATTTTTTGGTGTGTTGAAAACCTTAACTTCTTCCTTCTTGTACACCTTACACATTTTGGAACTCGCATGATATTCTTCGTTAGAATTTGCACATTTAGTTTGTTCTCGCGAGACAATACAATTTTTCACTTCATGGTCCCCTGCACATCTAATATATTTAACGCAATTTGTGCAAGTGTCTGTCATATGACCATATTTTTGACATCTATAACACTGAAGCACCAAAACAAACCTTCTATATTCTTCAATTTTAAAATTTAGATATTCTACTTTAAACTTTTCTATTAATTTCTTTGCATCGTCTTCATTTGACAGAATAACTTTTATAGTAGTAGTAGGCTCGTTAGTTCTACGACTTATAATTCTTGCCACTTGTTTCAACACCTTGTTTGTTTAATTTCATTACAATACCTTCCAGGTTAATAAAATGATTAGCACCTTTAATTACTAGAGCTTTTTGATTTTGTACAGCATATAGCAACCGCACTATGAGTTTTGCATTATTAAACATTGCACTTTGCCAACTTTCCAACAATTTTTCATAAGCAAACTGGTCTTCTGTTTTAATAAAAACGTTCATGTTTCTTAGTCTTTTAATACTGGAAATCTTCATTTCAGGAAAAAAAAACTGATTTCCTTACAAATCTGAATGTCATCGTAAACATCTGGAACATTTGCAACAATAATCGGAGGAAAAGCTTTCCATTTTTTATATTCGCTTCATTTTTCTTATTTTTATTTTCAACTTGCTTTGCATTTTTTATTGGCGTCCTTTGCGGTTTAGGTTTTTTTTTTCAAAAACTTGCCGACTATCTTCTTCTGGATCGTTGTTAAAATCTACATCCGTAGTTGTCACAACTGTTCCTTGATTCTTTGTATTCCCTTTTTTTCTTTGTTTAACGTTCCATCTTCTTTTAGATGTGCTTGGATTTGATTTTTGACTTTCTTCCTCTTAGGCTTAGTAATTCCAAAAAAAATTTAGTACACTTATGCCAAAGTTAACTTGTGTAATTAGAAATAAATTCAATTTAAATATTTAGTATAATATACTATATCCTAAAACTAATTCTAATTAAAAGTTTAAAATAAAATATTAAAATACACTTTAAACACTACAAAATCAGAAGCTAAAAAAAAACAATATGTCTTATCTGCAGGATTCACCGACATCGTACAGACATCTAGTTCGCCAGCTCCAAAATCTAAAGCTCTACAATAGAGCTGCGT